TACAGTGGGGCTGCTGGGCTGAGCGGTTGGCGAGAATTGAGAGTGAATGGATTCTTAATGTAAACACACTCTCCCCAGATGGTCTAAATTTAGATTTTGAATTTGCACATTTTTATAGATATACCACTTTTATTTATTTATATATATATTAATTACAAATTATTTTCAAAGTTAGTGTTATCATATTTTTTTTTCTCTCCACTGCCTTTGTCCTGTAGACAAATTCTATATATTTTATGTATTATCAAATAAAACATGTTTTTAATATATATATATATATATATATATGCCTTTTTAACTTAATTTATATTTCTCCCTTTTCTTTCCCTAAATAAGGAATATGGTATATAATGTGTTGTTGTTGTTCTTTTATTAAATGGAATTGCCATTTTTATCCATTGATTTGCAATGGACCCCCAAAAGAAACATGGAAGTTTGAGACGTTGAAAAATGTCTAAGCAAAGACTATGATCGCTGGAAGGGAGATCGGGAGATCGAGCTATCTGATGTCATAAAGAGGGACTTTGGACGTTGCGTTTCAACGTGCATTCCACGAGCCTGCAACATCATCAGGATGGGCCGGAAATTACGTTGCAGCGGATCGTGAATAGAGGAAATAGGAAACAGATAAAACAAATGAACTGTAGATGGACACCATTATAAAACTGATGGAAGAAGACCGAAATATCAGCACTGGAAGAAGGCTACATTTGCCAAAACGTGTTTGCTGTTCGTGCACTTTATAGTTATTTGTGTTTGGATACTAATAGGTGGTAAGTGTAACCATTTGTGTATTTTATTTACCTCACTACCACTCTTTTTATAGTACCCAATAAGCAAAGTATTTTGTTTTCCAGTTTTAATACTCAATCAATTGTATTTGGAAAATACTGAGGATCCATCATACAGTTCTTTGGAAATCTTGGGGAATTGGATCATATAGCCCTTTGTGGCACCCTAGAGCGCATAATAAAGAGCCTGGGAAGGCTCTGAGTCATGTTTCCTGTCATGATTTTCCTGCTTAGCTCCCTATCGCGCCTTTTAGTGATGCCGGGGTCGGAGTAACATCATATTCTGGCACCGGTATCACTGCGGTGCACGCGAAAGAGCTGTGCAGGGGAGAGTGCCCCCTCACCGACAGTCTTAATTATCAGCGGCAGTCATTTTTTTTCCAGAAATTGCGGCGGAACCCCATTTGTGTTCTCGTGGACATTAATAAAGGTAATGACTTTGCAGACAAACAGATGCCCACAATTTTATTGATGGTCAATATTTACAATGTATTCTGTTGAAACTAAATTCTGTAATATAAATCAACTGTACATCTAATGTTTAAGAATAAAAATAACAATATTTATTTAAACATTAGGTGTGCAGTTGGTTTATATTACAGAATTTTGATTGGATCACACAGGGGTGTGTTTTTTTCAACCTTGGGCGGCCTATCTTTGGAAATATACATGCTGTATGTAAGAGGATGCCCTATTCTTTTGAAACAAACCACAGACAATTGAACTCATTTATTCTTCAACAAGTCTATCAGGTTCAGTTCAAGATCCTTATTTTATTTATTATTAATAAAAAGTATGTGTGTAGATTAGCTTTAATCCACCATGTTAAACTGTATAGTAGACTTGTCCAAGGAAAAAAAAAATGAAGATGGACAAATTCCGGCCATTTGGCAGTTCAAATTTCATGGAAAAAGATTTTGGTAAGTGAAACTGATGGACCAAAAGGACGGGAAAATGGGCTAATCCGTTTACTGCTAAATATATACATAATATAAATACTATGTATATATTCAGCAGTATTGTTTCAATCATTTGGCTTATTGATCAAGTAAGAAAAAGTTACCAAAAGAGGGAAAAAGAGGAGGAGAAACAAAAAATATAAATTTAGATGACTAGCTTACAATCATTTTTTTCCCAATCATGTCATTTTTTTGGCATCATGTGCGGAATTCCTAGTCTAGAATCAAAACAAATTTTTTTTGTCTATTGTGATTTGTTTGGTATAAAGTACAGCAACATTTCATTTCGGAGTTCTAGACTTTGTATGATCACCCAATCTTCTCGAATTCGGACAAAGTGCAGTTTGTAACTCAAGGAATCTCCGAGTCAACTGAATGGTGAACATCTACAAGGAGCGTCTTGAACTGCCGTAAAACAAAGTTGAATGGATGAAGCCTTCTATCCCACGCGCTGCCCCGTACTGTAGAACACGTGTTGGTAATAACGTAGCAAGTTGGAGTTATTGCTAAAAACCAATCCATATAGATGGATATTATAGAAATCAGACAAAAGTTTTTTTTTCACTTTACTAAACATAGTGTGCAGAATTTAATTGCATAGTCCCTCCATGCATCTGAATTATCATACATAAGTGGAAAAACATATTAACTTCATTAGGCTGTTTTTGTGCTATAAAAAGATATAATTAGTTTAAGGCCCATTATTACTAGGTTCTCATCTGTAAGCATTCTATCATTACTTCTAATGGAGAAATTCTGGCATCAAAGGTGTAACCAGCATGATGTTTAACCAGGAATCTCAGCCACGGCTTAATGTGCCGCATACCTGCAATTATTGCACTTATCTATAATATATTTACAAATTTGAAGACAATGCAATGAGTGCTTTTAAAAGGTTTCCTTCCTCTGGATTTCACAGTACGTAAAGTTTTTATTAATCAAGAAATACCAGATTCACAGCAGTATATAATTCTACATTTAATTAGCTTTAAATATATTGTACTTGTTATATGTTACTAGAATGTGCTTTGTTGTGGTTTTTGATTTAATGCAAGCCATTTTATGAAAATGGAGACAAACTCTTTGTTAGCATGGTTCCGAACCATTTGGAGTGCACATCATCTGCCAACAACTTATTTAATAAAGTGAGAATTCAAAGTGACCACATTATATCCCTATGCGGGGATCATTCTGCCCAAGCGCAAAAGTCAGAGCTGCACCTAAGCTCCCAAAAGTGTGAGTGAATTATTTGATCATTCTTTTCCAATTGTATTTTACATACTGCACTATCAATTCTTTCTCTATCATCCCACATATTTTTAAGGACATACTTGGCGCTACACCACCCCTCTGTTTTCTCCAAGCCTCCAGGATTACATCAGCCAAAGATGAGGACGCGGCAGCACCAAAGGAGATTAAGCCCTGTAGAGAAGGTGAATACTTGTAATTTTATTTTAAATGTTTTGTTTTCTGTTTTTTTTTATTTTAATTAATTTTTTAACAAACACTGAAGGTGAGACTTTAAAAATGTAGCGCTAGGAAAAGAGACATGTTTTCCTAAAACTACAGTATTCCTTTAAATGGCAACTATAGTGCTAAGAAAACAAAATGTCTTGGAACGAAAGCTTCCTATAGTTCTCACGTCCCTCGTGCTCCACCCCACAAAAAAAAACCCTTCTGTTACTTACCTGATTTTAGCTCCAAAGTCTCTCAGCGCTAATTCAGGTTCCACCTCCACTCATCCCCCATTGATGCCATCCGGCACGGGGGACCTAATGTGCATGGGCGGCACTCGCGGCACTCGCCCAGACCGCATTAGGACTTCCCCCATAGGATGGAGTTTTCTATAATGCAATAAAAATAGGTATCGCTAAAAAACCAGTTAGAAGAAATGGATTGAAAAAGTGGATAAAAGTAACAAGAAGTTTATTAACAAAAATGTGTTTTTTTAGCGATACCTATTTTTATTGCATTATAGAAAACAGTTCCATATACTGTATTTCTATTCTATGAGGTTTATATCTTTTTCTACAAAGTATAATATTTGGTTTATACTTCATTTATTCTGCCTTTAGCAGATTTAAAGGCGTACACACCATATACACTTGCTGCACCTTCCTCCTGAATTGTTTGATCTATTTGATTAATTTTATTATTGGCACTATCACACCTAATTCTAATTTTACTATAACCACAGTATTAGTGACATCATATTCCAAAGCCATTTTGGTTAACCAGCTCCTGGAACAATTACACCAAGTTTAGGGTGTCATTTCCACCAATATATATTTCTTTGGACAGGTTTTTGGTGAATTCCTGTCTGTATCCGGTTTTGAGCAATATACCATAAGTCCGACTCCCTCATCCCTGTGTGTTGCAATAGGCATACCAGATTAATCCATCCCCATGTATCTTCCCATACCTCACAAAATGTTAAATCGACAAAGTGGGACACTTTAATTGTAAAGGGGCCATGAGCGGACTGTTCTGAGGAATTTTAGATGACTTACCAATGTCAATATATGCAACTAAAATGTAATTTAAAACTAGAACCATGATTTGTATACAGATTTCTAAAAAATTTTATTGTATTGTAAAGACACACTACTGTGAGTATCATTGCTCTGGCATAATTTCAGACAAACCAAAAATACAGAGCTTTTACAAAAGAGGAACATTAGGTAAGAAAAGAGAGACAGAGGGATTTGAGCCAAAAACAAAAACCGTCTCTCCTAAATTTGGAGATAAACTAATTATAGACACTGTTAAGCCCTAACCTTAAACCTCTCCTTAGCCCTAATGCTATTTAGAATAAAAAAAAAAACTTAATAAAAGATATATAATGCAGTAGCTTGAATTAGAGTATAATAATGTCATCTTGGCCTCATGGTTTATTATAAACCATTTAATGATTCCCCTACTCCAAGTTTCTATGTATCCCATATACATATATAGTGGAATACAAGCATTAACAATAGCTGCTCTGTATTTGAAGAACCCATCGCAAATCCTAAACTCAATTCTCATTTGACCTTTGGCAAGTCTTTTATGTTTCTCTGCCCTGGGCATCAGGCATACAACTTTAATCTCCACAAGCAGATGAATCAGCGCGTACATTGCTGTGTTCTTCGACTCGGTGCTACAAAGAAAAGGGAAAATACAATGATACCGTAAATGAATTCTGTATGAAATGTATGAGATGGTGATGGTGTCACGGTAATATTGTAAATTCAGAGAAAGTCATAACATTGTAGAATCGCTGAAAGTCTCTATTCCCCTCAGAAAGATGGACATTTTCTGATTATTTGGTAACTATCCTGATGCATAGTTAGCCAAATGCAAATGGTTCTATCAACAGTTTATTAAGTATAGCCACATTTCTTCATCATTTTAATAGATTATGTCGTTTTTTAATGTATCTTAGTAATATCAGGTTGCATGTATTTTGAAAGATATTTTAGTAAAATCGGTTAATTTGGATTGATTATGGATTCCTACTTAGTTACATATTTTACTATTGAAAAAAAAGACTAAAGTCTATCAAGTTCTATTAACCTTTTAACATGCAAGTGATCTGACAAAGATGTAGCTATTCAGAATCAGGCACATTGCAAGACAATAAATTCATTAACATTTGTCAGAAAAAGTTAACAAAACTTGGGTTCCTCATGCACCCACAGCTATGCCCCTTGGGGGACCCACTGTTTGTTTCAAATCGCCAAAATAATTTTAGCTGGCAGATGGTACAAGCAGCCTCCTACCACCATAACCACAATGTGCTGTAGTTATTATGGTGCTTATAGTAAGCTTTTTAAGCTCTATGAGAATCATAAGGGCTGTAAACTTACTCCGTTTATGGGTATACAATCAGACTAAAATACAAAAAAAAGCAATAAACGTGTGTTGGCACCTCTTGACAATATAATTATATACAGTGTGCCCACTGATGTAAATCAGAGTGCTGACCCAACACTTTTAAATGAAAAAGAAAACAAATATGAAAAAAGCAAAAATGATACACAAAGTGTAAGCACGCAAGATGATACTTATTACATGGATTTAATACTGTAGTTACCACTTATGGTAGTAACAGTTGTTATGGTATAGAGTATATATAGATCTACAAATAAATCTCAACAAACATGGTGTAATCTGACTTACAATCAGAATCTATAGTGTGTGTCCAGGATTGCCTATTTTATTTACCTGATTAAATTAATACTTTTGATATCATATGTATATATATGTACTTCTCTCCTATGTTTGTCTTCCCAGAAGCCGTGCTGCCTCGTAGTCGCTACAGTCTGAAATGAATTTTGCCACCAGGCTGATTTTTCTCTCCTGTTTCTGCTCTCGCACATCGCCCTTCTGTCAATCCTTACTTTGACTTCCTGTACCCTATAGGAGTAAATTCAAAATACTAACTCTTTCCTATCAAGCTATAAACAACTCTAGCCCCGTTACATTTCTTCGCCACCTTCTCTAGACTGTAAGCTCGTCTGAGCAGTGTCCTTATCAACCTATTGTTCCTGTACCATTTTATAATTGTCCAATCTGTTGCTACATTTCCCCCATTTTATAATGTTGCAAAGCGCTGCGGAACAAGTTGGCGCTATATAAATGCCTAAAATAATAATAATTATACAATAACAACCAAAGCGAAATATAATTTTACAGAGATATACATCATTTTGTAAGCTTATATCAGCCCATAAATGTACTGACACATTCTTTATTTTTCATTGTCATTGTCTACCGGTGCGTCTCCAATGCAAAACCTTCCCTTTCTTTCCCGATAGAGATAAATTCATGTCAATACATAAAGATTGTATTCGGTGTTTGCATTCTTACACCTTCTCAAAATAAAACGATAGACAAAGCCGCAGGACACTCACCTAATATTTACTCACCTGCTCTGATTGAATCCCTATCTCTCTGAAATAACCAAGATATACCTACCTGTTCACCTATTTATAAATGGTTCAAACTGTGCAAGTTCTGATTCTATGAACACAAAGGCTGAAAAATTTAAAAATAAATGTAAATAAATAAATATGAAGAAAGGAGTAGATTTACTGATCATGCCAAACTTCATGACTACTACACTTACTGTAGTGGTTATGGTGCCATGGTAAGATAACAAACCATTTTAGTATGCTTTGACAATTTACCTGGGTCACACCGTTCACCCGTGACCAAATCCTATGCATCTGGTCCTCTACAGCAGATAAACCAGGATATGCAGAATTGTGCTCAGTGGCTGTAAAAGGGACTGATCTTTAAATCCACATTTTTTACTGCCTCTTAGCACTTCTGTTATGCGGTTATTCTGCGCATTTAACCCCTTCAGGACGGAGTCAATAGTGCACGTTCTGATTAAAACAAAACGTAAACAAAAACTGGAATTTGCGCTATATGTATATTTGCGGTTATTTGTATTGTATATATAGATAGATAGATATAGAATGTCATTCTAAGTGTATTTTGTTACCAATATATATTAATAACAAAATACAGTTAGCATGAAATTACATATAAATATATAATTTATATTAAATTTTGTTTCAATATTTTATTTATTTATTTTATTATTTTATTTATTATTGTAATTATATGTATATATATATAATATATGTGTATATATGTATTATATATATAATATATATATACATATTATATATATGTAACATCATTCTAAGTGTATTTTTAAGATTAATATATGTACTTATATTAACATTAAAATACATTACGTATCACGTTACATATATATATATACAATGTATATATATTATATTTATTATATATATATATATATATATTTTATATATACATATATACACATTTAATTTATTTTAAAACATGTTTCATTATTTTTTTTTTACTTTCCCACCAGCAGGGGGACTGTCTGACATTTCAGACAGTCCTCTGCATCTGGCAGATCCGATCACATGGCCCCCGGGGGCCTCATTTGCCAGGGGAGGGCTGCCTGGGCTGTCAGGCAGCCCTCCAGAAGAGGATCGCGGCGGAGGTGAGTATCGCGGACCTCCAGGGGCAGAAAGCCGTTAAGGCGTTCTATGCCGCCGCAACGACTTTAAAGCCCTTTTAATGCGGGATGGCATAGAACGCCGTAACGGCATTAAGGGGTTAATGCCATTGCACTGCGATAATAATGATGTAATAAGAAATTGACCACCCCCTCATTTACCCGAATAACGTGTAATTTACCTGTTTTTCTCTAATGAAACTCAGCCTTCCTTTTTGTGATTTCATTAACAGTAAATGGAGAAAACAAGTTTAAATTTGGCTTATAAGAAAAAAAAGGTGTTTTTTTTGTTGCATACTAGAAATTTTTGTTATTTATCAGTTCCCCGCTGATTTTTTTTTTGTGATTTTTTTTTAATATTGGGTAGACAAGCTTGTTTTATCAATAAAAAACATACTTCCTTCGCTACCTATCTTTTGAGAATAAATATTATTATTCTCTTTGGTTGTCTAGCGTGTGATTTAAGATCTCTTATATTTCATTTGGAAGCCCAAAGTGCCGTGTAACCTGAGGTGGCTTACGTGCCTGTTAATTAACAATCCTTGGTTCGGTTAAGGCTGACTGGCTGATACACAGTGTAAGCAACATGTCAAAAGCCAGAACTCTACTCAGTGGGAGATGTTTTTAGATTTTGCGGTTCATGTTGTTAAAAGGCAAGCTAAATCAATAATTCATAAATCATATATTTTGTAGAGATTTTGCAGATAAATAATATAAGAATACCCCAACTGCTGGGAGACACCACAAGTACAAAATGCTCTTTGAGAAAGCCAGGGTGTGCTCTGCTCTACAAGTTTTGCAAGATGGCCTTGTCTAGGGAGAGTGATTTAATGACACCAAGAATTGGAAGAGGAGGACCTCTTCACAAAGGTTACAAAGTATATTACACCCAGCAATCTTGACAACATACAATATTTCTAGTATTTTTACATCTTTAGTAAGATATGCAAAGGGAGTTTTGAGGTGTAGCAGTTAAGTTGATCCACTTCTTCTCGTCTGGCGAAATCCAAACATTTGACATGGGTGGATATGGGTGGCAAGCCTGCACCATCCATGAAGGTCACATGGAGTTTCACAAGGATCATCGTCATATATTAAATGTTTATATTAAATCTCTTTCAAACTTCATAAGAAAAAAACTATTCTAACAATACAAGAATAACATAGATAACATTATAGCTTTGTCCTAGAATGTCACGCATCCTTAGTTATTAAGCACAAAAAAGTAAGGAGTAAGGAAAGGGTAAAAATGTTTGAAATACCAATTGTTCTTTCAGAGATCCATGGCCAATGCAAATAAGCCAAAAATAGAATGTATGAGAAGACTAAGAAGGGGCAAAGCCTAGCAGTTGTTAGTCCCAGCTCCGATCTTATGCAAGCTTTTGCCCATTCTCTCAGACTTCTCATAAATTCAGTTTTGGCTAACTTTCAAATGACATTGGTCTCCCTGGGTCTTTAGGTTGAGTCACATTTGGGCCCTTGCTCAAAGTCCCTAGAGGGGTGTTTTATTTTTACTTTGCTTTGGAACTGAAATGCACCTAAAAAATGTTTCTTTAACTCTACTAGCCTTTACCACTGGTAATTTATTATATATAAGACAAGATGGTCCCCTCACTTTTAGATACATGTTGTAGAAGTGGCTATTAACAGTGGTCTAAGCTTATTTGGTAGTGTTGTCTTACTATTTAAAGATGTTTGGCAATTCAGGCTCAATACGTAAATGTGTTATTCAAGCCAAATAAAATATGATAAATTCTTGGAAACAACCGCCTTAACTACCTTTTTTTCTTCTATTTTCTATCTCATTTGCTTTTTGCAGCCATAAATTGTTAACAGACAAGGCCATAAGGACTAGAATATGGACAGATATAACCTCAAAGAAAGCATTCATGGATTTAATTATGCATTTGTTTTTCATTAGCTCTATAGATCCGATGTTTGAAATAAATGAACCACCAAAGACTGTCAAAATGAATGCTTGTTTTGATAAAATTGAAAAGTGAACAGAATCACATGGGATTTTTGCATTACAGTTCTCTGGAATTGTGCAAATTGATGCGAAAATATGCAACATTTGTCCATTCGTCCATAATATTTGCTTAGAAATTAACCGGCTGAGGTAAAAGTTCATGTTTACCCTTTTTTCACGCATTTGAAATTTTGTACTGGCTATTTTTCAGCTTGCAGATCCACACATGGTCAGAGGGGGCATCAGAGTTCTCATGTATTAAGTTACATTTGTTGCACATAAATGGCACATTACGTGCGTCTTTTCTAAAACAGCCATTCTGAAAGTTAATTAGAGCTCAAGATGTATTGAAGTTTAGGATTATCATCAATATGTTGTTGTCATTTGATTGCCACCATATTGGACCTCACTCTGACCTAAAACAGAATATATTAATATCACAAATTTATTTAACAAGTATTGTAATTATATGGGCCTAGGCATTTTGCTGACATAATACCTTAACACACTTATATATAAGAACCAGTACGTCTGCATTCACATTCTGTGGCCGTACAAGTGGTAATTGGAAGTAGCTTATTTTTCTGAATAGAATATCCAGTATTATTGCACTATTTTACTGAATAGTTTAATTAGCGAAAACTTCTAAGTATTAAGTTTAGAGTGAAATATTTGCCTAACGCATGCAGAATTAGCTCGTGGTGCATTCCCTGTAACGCTAAACCATCCAAGACTATATCCAGAAAGTATAACATCTTACAAACAAATTAACTTATGTAGTAGCAGTTAATCCTCGGTGTCAAGCCATTCTGCCTTTCTCCTAAGTAATTTAAAAGATAATTTCCCTCCGGACTCTGCAGCATTTAAATATGCTGTTCAGATTCTTAGTGTATCTGCTTTTGAATGAAAGATACCGCACTTCATTCTCTGCAAAGAGTTGCAGTTCTCTCATACTCAAAGGCTTTACAGTTATTTACTAAGAAAAACAAAAATATGAACTTTTATTTTTTTTTAAAGGGACAGTGAATCACAGAACAAACTAATTTGAAAATGATTCTAATTTCATCTACACCCTGCAGTTATTAATCAAGTCATGTTATTTAGCGTTGACCCCTTAACTTAATTTGTTTTTGTTTGCGTAACATTTATTTGAAACACACAATGTATAGCTAGCACATAAATATAAAATAAAAGAGATGCAGAGAGATAAATGGAATGCTGAGATATCGTAAGTAATTTAAGGGAAAAGCGTATCATTGAAGCAAGTAACAAACTATCCTCGTCACTCAGTTTGTTGCATTCAGTGTTGTATGATATGATAAGAGTCATGATAGTTATAGGAACAAGAGTCAGAAAGACATTAAAGTGGTAAACACAGAGTGAGGACACACTTGCTCTGTTTTGCTTTGATTATTTGATTAGAAAGTCCAGGAGTGGCATCTAGACTTGTGCATGGTGGAATAATTCAGTTTGGCGAGTCAATTCAGCTGAAATTTTTTTTTTTAATCTCGTCTATGCAGTGTTTGTACTCCTCCAAATGGAAACGATTTGGGGGAGATGATTCTGACAAACCAAAAGACCTGAGCCTATCACTATCTTGCAAAATATGTGCACAATATTTACGGGTATATTTATTTTGCAGTACAGAGATAGGCTCATTTTTGTGCCCTTTTAATGAAGTTAATTGTGACGAAATTCCAAATGAATAAAATTGTGTTTTACTATTCCAATTCAGTCCACATTCGGTCAATATTTGCAATTTTAAGCATTTGGTTACGTTTCAGCATTCAGTTGGGTATTTTAAGTACTTTGCCCAGCAGATCTCTGATTTATGATCCCCAGCATCACTAACAGGTCCCTAGAACTTCCTCGGAAATGTGGTGTAGAACCTTTTGTCTCCTGTGTGATGACCTTATAGCTCAGCTCCTGGATTATAGAGCTCAGTGGACATTGTTGGGACAGAGCTAACATTTTCTTCTATTATTCCAGTAAAAATCCTTCTCCCAAGCTCCTGCTCTGAGCATGATGTGAACCTGAAATACACACCTTTGACAGCAGTCAGTAGTAGTTGGTTAAGGGTAAATATACCCCTGTCTAAGTGTTCAACTGTAACGGATCACCTGGCACCCCGACTGGGTACCTCCGTTGAAGGATGCTCCTAGCGCTTCCTGAGGGCTCCAAGCACTCCAGCCCATACCATAACCACCGTAGACTCCTTCAGAGAGCAAGGCAGGAACAAGCTCTTACAAGAGCTCAGTGATTATAGCTAGGGAATATGCAGAGCATAGCAATCCCTTGTAGCAGATTCCCCCAATAATAGACAGGACGCAGATTGAGGGTGAAGTAGAACTGATTTACTGGGGCTACCTGCCTGGCTTTTATGCAGGTCTCCCACCTGGTGGATACTCCCCTAGGGGAGTAGATGGAACACTGGGAAACATAGTGGACATTGACCAATCACAAGCTTACAATCCCACAATGCATCACAATCCCTCCTCTCTGTCCTGGAGATAATTGGGAAGTAATCCAATTATCTCCAAGGACAGAGGCAAAACTCCATTAACCACATGGCAGACAAAGGACAATAAAAGACATACAATTACATACTGTTACATTTATCACATAGAACATACACATATCCCCAGATAGCTTAGATCTGAGCGCACATTATTACCGAATGGTGCTCAGATCACATACATTCAATCGCCATGGAGCCAAAGTCTATCATACAGTCTTTCAGTATACGGCTGGGCTCCATGGCATAGCTATTTGGGGTAGCATGGTTTAAACAGTAAAGTACCGAATGGGCCGGTGTTCGGATAATTGACTGCAGGTAGGAGAAGGGAGGTTGGCGGCTCAGTGGTGTTCGAGACTTTAACAGTCCGCAGAAAGGCACGAACCAGCCTTTCTGCAGCGAAAAAGAACAGTGTTAAACATGGGGCCATAGTCTAAAGGGAGCAGGTGAGCAACCAGGCTCCTCAAGTGGCAGTGGCGAGGTTGGTTCGGCCACATCAACAAACAGAGTCTCTTGAATATAGTTATGGACCTGCCTCTGCAAGACAGTGATTTAAAGTAATTTAGGACCTGAAAGTAAAGGATGACCCGTTGGTAGTCTCTATACCGAGAGGTCTGGGAGAGATTAATTCCTGCTTGAGATCTCTTTATATGGAAGTGAATATTCTCCCTATTTCCTAGAAAGCTCAGGTTTGCAGGATGCAGACTAGATTTGAGCATTCAGTTTAAGTGAAATTTAGACCTGGCCAAATTTGGTTCAATAGACTCTTTGGCCGAATTCCATAATTCTTTAGCACCATGTAAAACCAAGCAAATAACAAAGTGATCTGTGCATGGCGCCGAAAAAATATATAAAAGAGATATTTCTATATTATAAATATAGTGAATATATATCAGTGTACTGAAAAATATATACATAATATTTGTATAATATAGGTATTCTGCAATACACAAATTGCCCATTTTCACACCCCTTTTTTGTTTTGTCCAAATTTTTCCCTAAATAGCTTTCATGAACAACGTTCTGCCAAACAAAACCGTCATGTGAACAACAATTGGACGTCCCAAACAAAATATTAATTTCAGGAAAAATTATTAAGCCAAGCTTATAAATCCCACCATGCACATATCTAATGAAGACCCATAGGAAATGCTGGTTGTGTGCTAACAGGACATATGAGTTTCTTTGTTTGTTTGTTTGTTTGTGTTTTTGCAAAATAGAATAGTAACCCAAACTAACCATGGATTGTAAGATTTTTGAAAACATTTCTATTTATATTTTTATTTATTTTACAATTCACGTTGAATTCCTGACTGTCTTGACAAGGCAAGAACATGCCCTGTAAATGAATTTTAAACTAACAATTCCGTTTGCACATGCACACATGGTGTACGGCACCATAGAAGGCGGACAGCATCGTGGGGGAATAATGTTGTGCTGAGTGTTTTCTTTTTAGTGTTTTTTTTATGAATCCCTACTGCAAAACATACTCCAGACAGAACTCCAAAAATTTACGCTTTAGACTGAATCAAAGTCCAAGTACCTTCAGTTTTGGACTCGGCTCTACCTACACGTAGAATAAAAAGACAGAGCGTGTAGCACGTCTCTCGGTGCAATGGCTGACCCCAACTGCTATTGTGTTCTTTAAGAATTTATTGTAGGTTTATTGCAGCGTTGCTTGTGTCTATTTTTGTTAAATTACAGGGTACGTGTATCAAAATCGGCCTGCTGATTATGTAGTTATAATTATACATACCGGTACATTATATACAGAATTAGTCATCGGTATGACACAATAGACCCTAATCAGATTACTGAATATGTATAAGTAGAAGGTAAGAAGTAAGACAATTTGTAGATCCTACACTTAAACCTTTTGTCAGATAATGCTATATAGTTTTTTCGTATTTTTGTTCCTACTTGTGGGAAGAAAATAGCAAACGGAAAAAAATAACAGGTGATATTATGTCAGATACAATCTAAACCACATGTGTCTATTCTAACAAACTCCAAGCCTATAATTAACAGAAAATAAAAAAAAATTAAAAGTTTGTAAGTTCTAAATTCGTACTACATACCTGCAATTGGAAATGCTGTCCAACAATTAGACAAATTCATCTTCAGCTGCACTATTACGGAAAGTGCTCCTCTGTTCTATAAGATAGGGGTTATGCAAACTAAACATATAATCCCTATGATGATCAATATGTGAAGGATAGTCCAAACTATATATTAATTTTATTAATATTATTTTTATTATTTTTATTATTATTATTTTTGTAAGACCAACAAATTCCACAGCTCTGTACAATGGGTGGACTAACAGACACGTAATTGTAACCGGATGAGTTGGAAGCACAGGAACAGAGGGGTTGAGGGCCCTACTCAATGAGTTTACATGCTAGAAGGAGTGGGGTATAGTGACACAAAGGGTATGTGTTGGGGTAGAAAAGTAGGTTGCTTGAAAAGTTTTCACTGAGGGCTTAATGTGTTATTTTATGTTGAGAGTTGCAGGAGAGGAAGAATAGTGCGGGATATTTTGAAGGAGTGGAGACTGAGTGAAAGTCTAACAGAGGGGAAGGGCGTTCCATAGGAATGGTGTAGCCCTAGAGAAGTCTTGAAGGTCTTCCTCTGACCGTACTTGTTCTTGAATGTATATATATATTATATTAGTGCATATGTTCCTAATAATTATAATTAAATTATCTGTAGTTGTGATGAGTTTGACAGTGCACACTTAACGTTACCTTACCGGCTTCTTGAGATTGTGGTAGTCAGTACATGTTTATAGATACTAACTGGTTAAAAATGATTACAAAGAATATATAACTAGTACGAAATGAAACATAAGATTTGAGTTCTATCGAACATGTTCGTTTGATTGTTTGCACTTAGGTAACATCAGATAACTTTTTCAGAGAGAAACCCTTTGCACTAATAATCAATATTTTTGTCCACCTCAGCTTAAAAGAATTTTTAAAGAAAAGCATCGAGCTCTCTATATATATTTTATGCTACAAAAAAAATCTCAGTAAGTTTTTTAGAAGTTAGCTCACTACTGTTTCACTCCCTTAAGGGACCGAGATGGCTTAAAGCAGCCACAAATTTAAAGTTTTATTTTAAAAGCTATAAAACTCTAGATTTTAATAACAGATTGAGTAAATTGCTCCATAAATCATGTGGGAATTGAGTCACATTGTAGAACAGGAATAAGAGAGTCTAAAATATATAAAAATATATATATATAACAAATCAGGCTCGGGTGGAACGGAGGTTCTAGCAAATGACTTTGTAAATCATAAAAAATAAACATATAATATCATGTGTCATACTTTCAATATTTCTTTCTGGATCTCCAAGACAAAGTGGATTTGTGATAAGATATTTCACAATGTTATTCTATGGATTTTTAGATTTATCTTTATACACTTTTTATTTTAAATGTTACTTTATACATTGTTGCTTTTACATTGTACATTTAAAAAGACTAATTTAACCCCTTAAGGACCAAACTTCTGGAATAAAAGGGAATCATGACATGTCAGACATGTCATGTGTCCTTAAGGGGTTAAAGAAGTTTGATCACCCTTCCTCTCCAGTCAAACTTTGAATTTGTTGTCAAGTACTTTTACTTTTTGCACTAAAAGAACCAGTAATTCCACAGATACCAGGTCCCATCTATACCTATTGTTGTAGTCGGAGCTAAAGTAAAAGTGAGTCTGGGCACAAAGAAGCAGGTCTCCATTTCCTGATTTGTTCTGTCTAGACGGGACATGAAAAAGAGAGAACTGAAATTATTTACCTCTGAGAACACAAGAAAAAAATTATTTTTGAAACAGAAAGCTTGATTTTATCAACAGATATAACACTTAAACAAGTGCGTCTACACACTTATAAATACATATTTACATTCAGCTTGCAGATAGTGTCTCTCAAAGTGGAGAGGACAATATCGTGCAGTAAATTAAATGTATTGAATAGGAATATGTTCCAAAAAGAGTTCTAGATTCATGAGGCAGTCTTCCAGGGTTCAAGTAGGCGCAAGCTGGATAAATATCAGATCAACAAAAAAAATCAAATATCAGGCTTGCAGTTTTGGACAGTGAATGGACAGAAAAGATGGGTCAAACAATACTATATATGTGGATGGATGGACAGATGGATTGATTGATTGATTGATGGATGGGCGGGCCGACAGACAGAAAGGCCAGAAGTAACTGGTGGTCAGTGGGTTACAGATACAGTCCTAGTCACACCCCCTTGCAGTTTCCCTCAGGGTCCCCCTCCCGCCGGGCTCTGGAGAGAGGAAGGGGTTAAACTCTTACCTTTCTCCAGCACCGTGCGGGGCACTCTCCTCCTCCTCTCCTCCCTCTTCTCCTCCTCTTCTTCTGAATGCGCATGCGTGGCAGGAGCTGTGCGCGCATTCAGCCAGTCCATAGGAAAGCATTCTCAATCACAGTGAAAATCACAGTGAGAAGCACGCAAGCACCCCTAGCGGCTGTCAAGAGACAGGCACTGGAGGCTGGATTAACCCTAACATAAACATAGCAGTTTCTCTGAAACTGCTATGTTTATTTTAAAAAAAAAAGGGTTAACCCTAGCTTGACCTGGCACCCAGACCACTTCATTAAGCTGAAGTGGTCTGGTGCCTATAGTGGTCCTTTAACTCCTAAATGGCAGAGAATTGAGCAGTGAGACTGCAGGGACATGATATATACACCAAAACTGTTTCATTACGCTAACATTTTGGTGCTTAGAGAGTCCCTGTAAGCGTGAGAGACATATGAGAGGATCTGAAGGAAAGGATGAAAGAAAGTATCAAAGATGCACTTGGAATTTGTTACATTGATGAAATATATAGAACGAAATAAAAATCTTTTTAAAATTCAGTTTCCTTTACTATGATTAAAGCAGCAAACCATGCTTTGAGTTATATATCTTTCATACTGTGATAGAAACTGGCTGTAAAA